TCCTCTAGTATATCCGTGACATGTTTTTCAAATCTTAGATCACTATCCATTACAACCCTCAAGTTACGCACCTCTGGTACCTTCTGAACCAAATTGCTCCCTAGTCTAATTTTTAGATCAAAACTATTGATTTGATGTTTTTGATTTTTCGTGCCCAGCACCATGAATTTCGACTTGTCAGGATTCAAAACCAAACATTACGGTCAGCCCAATTGCGTATTCGCTCCAAATCTGCATTGAGTATATTAACAGCCGTAGTGGTGTGATTGGGCTTAAAAGAAACATATAGCTGAAGATAATACATAAAAAATCTATGATGTCTTTAGGTATCACTTTGATAAGTGTAATGATAAGATAACATATTATATAATATGATATGATATGATAGTATGATTACTATCATATCATATTATATAAAAATAAATATATAAATATAAAGTTTTTAAGTTCGTGGTCAATTACAGGACCTACATATTCATTCTTTGCTGAAATTTTCGTCATAACATGTAAGGCGTTTGATAGGGTTCCCCGCGGACTGCTGATTTCTAAACTTTACTCATAGGGCATCGTAGGTCCAATGCTCAGTAGGTGCCAGTCATACTTCAGTGATTATTCTTTTATGTTGTGGTAAACGGTTACAAATCTAGCTCTTTAAAAATAACATCTGGAGTTCCGTAGGGATCCCATTTAGGCCCGATATTGTATAATATATTTATAAATGATATACCGATGATATTGAGTAACTCAATATCCGTTCTCTACGCCGACGATCTAAAGATTCTCTGAGAATATAATGTGCCGACGAATACAGTATTTTTCACAATTAAATAATTTAATTAATATAAAAGAAATTATTTTGTTAGCTTTTCCCTTTAGCAATAGCCTCACACCAAGTGAAAATAATTTGAGGCATAACTTAAATAGAACTTTACACAGCTTGACATTTCATTATAGTAAATTTCATTTTATGGATACTAATAATTTTATTAGTAAATATTTTTATTTGACTAAAGATAGGTATTATCTTACTAGTTATTTTAGGAGACAGATAGCAGAGTTGCTATCATATTATATTAATAATTCAGCCAAATCCTTGGCGACCAGACCGGCTGCTTCTATTGAGCAGTCCGTTGACATAGGTCAGTTTACTGACAATAATCATTCTGTTGAAAATAATTCAACTTCTAATTATTTAAATTAATTAATAAGACAACGGAGAGATACTCTTGCAACACAATGACAATAAAAAACCAACCTAAAACACACAGAAATAAAATAAATTGTATATTAAACCTGGTGCATCAAAATATTCAAGGCATGAAAGGCAAAGAGTTAGAAATAGAATTATTTATTAACTGTAATAATATTGATATTCTGTGTATTACTGAATACCACTTTCTATCAAAACATCAGTTCATGTTTAGCTTCAACAATCACCAGGTGGCTAGTTCGTTCAGCAGAGAAAAAGCTATTCATGGCGGCTCTTTGATTCTTATTAAAAATCATTTAAAATTTAAAGAACGTACAGATATTGTGAGCCTATCTATTGAGCGGACTATAGAGATATCCTGCGTAGAGCTTGAACGGCTTGTTATATTAAGCGTGTACAGACCCCCTCATTCATCTTACGAACTATTTGAAAAAAGATTAGATGAAGTTTTAGGCAAATTAAATAATCCAAATAAATATATTGCTGTTTGTGGTGACTTCAATGTTAACTTATTAGAAGATAGAATGTTATAATCTTGTGAATCTTTTCTTGGTGCCTACTAGAATAACTTCTACTACTGCCACTTGTTTAGACAATATTTATACTAACGCCGTACCTAGTAATAAATCTATTATAAATAAATTAACTTCTGATCACTGCGGTCAATTGGCCACTTTTAATATAACTGTTGACAAAATGCCAAAAAAGGATATCACATGTGTTCCGATAAATAATGGTCGACTTAAAGCTTATAGAAATAATGTAATGCTTAAACTAACTGAACTTCCGTACGTTAACGATCCCAATAAATTGTATAATTCAGTTTTCAACATAGTCAAAAGTGAACGTGATAACGTTTTTAGGTCCAAAATCATAACTATTAATAATTCATTGAAATTTAGTGATTGGGCGACTGTGGGAATTCACAAAAGTAGACAAAGACTATATGATCTTTACGATGAAAGGACTTATAACACTAGTAACAGTTTTAATGATTTTGTTAGGAAATATTCGAAAATGTTTAAACGTGTTTGTGTTGCAGCCAAAGCAATGTTTATAAATAATAAAATAAAAAGCAGCGCGAATGTAGTAAAAACGACTTGGAATATTATAAACAGCGAAACTGGAAGGGTCAAACCTCGTAACTTAGATTTTCAACTAAGATTTAATGACAAAATTGTAAACACAGACGCAGAAGTTACTAAAATATTTGAAAATTTTTTTACTGACATTCCAATTTTGACTACTAAGTCGTTAAATTCATCTCCCACCGCCGCTGAATCCTTACTGAAAGAAAATAATGCAGTTAGTATCACTAATTTAAGGTTCCGTCATGTATTTCCAAACGATATTGTTAAAGCCTTTAAGTCTATAAACATAAAAAATACAGCTGATCTTGATGGTCTTTCAGTCAGAGTTATTAGTTCTATAGTTGATTGTATTGCGCCTTATTTGGCCTGTGTCTTTAATAAATGTGTTGATGATGGTGTCTTTCCTGACCTCATGAAGCAAAGTAAAGTTATTCCACTTTTCAAATCTGGTAGTATTTCTGACCCCACCAATTTCAGACCTATATCAATACTACCAACTCTCAGTAAAATATTTGAAAAAATTATTCTAAATCAGACGTGTGCACATTTTTATAGTAATAACTTAATGTCTCCTAAACAATTTGGTTTCACTCGGGGTCGCTCTACAACCGATGCTGGTGTCGAGTTGATTAATCATATATTTGATGCATGGGAAGTTTCACATGATGCTATTGGTGTATTCTGTGACCTTTCCAAAGCTTTTGATTGTGTGCACCATGATACACTAGTCAGGAAACTTCGCCATTATGGTGTGGCGGGACGTGATCTCGACCTCCTTAAATCGTATTTGCGTGGTAGGGTACAGAGGGTCGATGTTAACGGTACGAGATCGTCAGGATCTGCAATTAGCATGGGTGTCCCTCAAGGTTCAATTCTAGGCCCATTTTTATTTTTAGTTTATATTAATGACTTACCTAGCCTTATGGAGAGTATAAAACGTGAGATAGTATTGTTTGCTGATGATACTTCCTTATTATTTAAAGTTAAAAGGCACCAATGTTCCTATGACGATGTGAACAATGCTATATCTAAAGTAATTGATTGGTTTGCTGTTAATAACCTACTTCTTAATGAGAAAAAAACAAATTGTGTGAAATTTACATTACCCAATGTTAGAGAGACGGTTACAAACATTGTAGTTAGAAATAAAAAATTGAATCTTGTGGATACAGTTGTATTTCTAGGTATAACGTTAGATGCTAAATTGCAATGGGGTCCCCATATAAGTAAGTTATCAAAACGGCTCGGCTCTGCAGTGTACGCGATTAAAAAAATAAGGAAACTTTCAGACGTCGAAACCGCTAGATTGGTTTACTTCAGTTACTTTCACAGTCTAATGACATACGGCATTTTGCTTTGGGGTAACGCCGCCGATATCAATAGAATCTTTGTCCTGCAGAAACGTGCAGTTAGGGCAATTTACAATCTGGGCCCCAAAGTATCTTTGAGAGATAAGTTTAAGGAAATTAACATTCTTACACTAGCCTCACAGTACATTTATGAAAATGTAATTTATGTTAAAAGGAATAGTAATTTATTTATGAAAAATAGTGACAGACATAACATTAATACGAGGAATAGAAATAAACTAGCTTTTCTTGATAGTCGTCTTCACAAAGTCAAAAAATCATTTAAGGGGCAATGTATACGCTTCTATAACAAGATTCCGGTTGATATACAAAATTTGTCTTTCACGAGGTTTAAAACTATAGTGAAACAAAAACTTTATACTAAAGGTTATTATACAACTTCTGCGTACTTGGATGACAAAAATCCGTGGTAGTAACCCGTTTAGCTCATGGAGGTAGTCTCGATCTCTGATGTTTCAAATAAAAATAAAAAAATATTGTAAATGCTATTTACAAAGAGCAACCCCTAGAGTTTCTTGCTCATTCTTCTCAGGGGAATCTGCCTTACGAATGAGCGGTAGAGTTTAACCATTGTGACGATTTCAAGTGTAATAATGCTTACCTATGAAATAAAGATTATTTTGAGTTTGAGTTTGAGTTTGCCCTCTCAGATGCCCTTAAAATGGTCATAGACAAAATATATTGCTGGTGTAAAGCGAATGCTATGGAGCTGAATGCAAGTAAGTGCTTTCAGATGTCCTTCACTCGTAACATAAAACAATTTGTTTACCGTTACCACGTGAATGGTATTACCTGCACTCAATACAATCAATTATTTTATTATACTAGACTTCAAACTTACCGTCATACTCCATATTGTTCAGTTGTACAGTTCTCAGGGCTTCCAGAACTTCACAGAACAGAACTGAGGTTTAGTATTACGTAATTCAAACAGTTTTAAGATTCCAGAGACAAAAATTATCTTGTACAATTGTTTTGTTCGAAGCATTTTAGAATATGGATTTATAGTCTGGCGTCCTCATTACGTAACACATACGAGAGGGTACAGAAACTTTATTTGTAGCCTGATCTATGCGGCTGGTGCGGCTAAAAGAATTCGATCTCATAAATCGAGACTGAAAATTTTTAAAATGATGTCGCTTGAAAACCGCAGATATCTTTTGGACCTTAGTTTCTTACACAAAATTTTAATCAACAAAATTGACTGCCCGCAATTGACAACAATGTTCAAATTTACAATTCGTGTTCCGTCATTGACAAATGAACAATTTACGATTGGTGCCTTTCTATCGCCACCATTTATAAAAACTAAACTAGGTCTAAACTCACCTGTCCACCATCTGTCCAGATTACACAATGAGCACAGTGCCACATTGGATATGTTCTCGGACTCGCTAACCGGCCTCTGTAGAGCAATAATTAGGATGTAAACATCTTATCTATAATTATTATTATCGAATTTAATGTTTGTTTTCTGTTTTTTTTTTGTATTTGTATTCGATTTCATAGCAAGTTGTGTTTCATGTGTTTGCAAGATGCATAGCTAGTGACAGGTGCACAGAAGCTACGTAAAGGCAGTGATAATTCATTAGAAAACTCGTTTAGGAGGTATCAACCCTAACAACACAATAGCCGGTGATAGTTACTTATCTTTCTTGCTAGAATAAAGCACACATTCTATCAAACACAATTTCAATTTCGTAAGGCGGCCATCTTAAATTCGTCATATCTTAACACTTTCGGTTCCTTGATTTGATTTGAGAGCCATGTGCCCATCTCCGATACTTGAGGGAACAGCCTCTGTCCCTCCTGATCCCCTTTCCGGCCCCTATTCCTGTAAATCATTTTAACGATCTCTATTCCTTTTGGGAGAACAATATCTAAATGTCTATATAAGGCAGTAGTAATCGAGCTACCCACATATAGTATGTTGCACGTTGCATACAGTTATACTATTGCGTATTTTAATTACTATCTGACTCGGTAATATGGAAAAAATGGAAATAATTCGTGAATGTTTGGCAGCAATACTTTAATTGACGGGGAAGGACAATATCGTCATTGCACCGTCAATGCTTCTACACCACGATGTTAAAACGTTGCACATCCCTGACGCACCGGGTTCGGGCCTGCCCCAACAGCATCCTGAGCATGATGGCGAACCGGCTTGTTGTCCCTACGTGAATCATTGTTCATGAGTGTAGTGTAGTTCAGTAGTGTAGGGTGTTTGTCTTCTCTGTTGTTTTTGTGTACATGTACTAACATTAGTATTTATCTGTTACTAACACTAAATGGGTCCGTGTTACCTTAATAAACGAAATTTTATTATTTTACTTATTTATCATTAATGGGGTCTCGTGGCAAACTACGACCTTAAACCCTCTCCTTACAGAAGATCCATAATTAGCAGTTATACTTATAATCTGTTGGTTATGATTATGTAACAGCTCAAAAATAAAAATAAATTTTGTCCAAAAATACAAATTATTTATCCGTTGTTGATCGCATACCACAGATCAACAAACTATGAAACAATTCATTAAAGGCAGAGAGCTAACAGTCCAGATAGACAGTCCAGTAGGTTCAGAATCGGCAAAAAAACTTAGTTTTAGAAGTTTATTCATTTATTTATTTAGGTTCATCAGTTATTATAACGTCGATACATGTACAATTAAAATTAGTAAGAGAGTTTAGCTAGATGCACAACTATTTAAAAATGAAACACAGTTTGTATTAAATTAAGCAGAATTTTCTTTTTCCTATCCATAAAAATTACAGTGTCACTCAGAGATTTAAATCGCAAAGATCCGATGGGCATTGCCACTACGCGCGTCACCTTCAGACATAACTTGACAAGTCTTATGTGCCTGTAATTTCACCAGCAACCTTACCCTTCAAAACCGGAACAAAGTTATGTTGACATTACTGCTTGGCGGCAGAAATAGGTAAGGTCGCTACTTCGTACTTCCCTGGACGAATTTCAGTAAGAGCTCTACTGCTACTTCTTAGGGCGCGTTCAAATTAGCCGCTATTAACCGCGTTGCAGCAGCGCTGCAGCTCGCGCGGCGACCGCGCGACGGCCGCGCGATTGTCACTTTTCATACAATTTCTAGAAGCGCTGCAACCGCGCGGCGGCCGCGCGGCAGTTGCGCTGCAGCCACGCTCGGTTGCATCACGGTTAGTGAGGTGTAAATGTTAATTTTTCAAATTAACTACGATGGACGAAAATCGAGTTGAAGAATTTATAGAATGAATGCAGAACAACACCTTGCAATATGGGATATCAGTTCCGCCAGTTATTCTAATCGACTGGAAAAAAAGGCATGGGAAAATTTATGTTTAAAATTTATTGACAATTTTGAAACTAAAACTACAAATGAAAAAAACATAGTAGGTTCTAAATAATTTTTAATATCTATATGTGAAGTGTATGCCCCAAGAACTCTGATTCCTCCCCCCCTCCCCCTTTTGGTTCTGAATACAAGTGTGAAGAATAGAGTTAAACAATCGTAAAAATCCCATAAAAACCCGTAAACAAAGCGAAAACTATTTACAAAATTTTTCGTAAATCGAGTTTTGTAACTATTTAATGGTAGTATTCATTTTGATTATTTTGACAAAATCAAGGTAACGAACGTATTCTAAAGGTGGCTACGACATTGTCGATCAACAACGAGAATTATAGACGTTTCGAGTTGTTTGGGAGTGCTCATTGAGAATGTGGCAATAATTTCTTAATCCAAGATGGCCGCCAAGAATGTTCAAAAATTTATTTTTGGTAATGGCATATATATCTGAATACATGATGACTGAGACAACTTTTCGCATTTCTAAATGCGAGATGGCGGGCACGATTTCTCAAATAATGGCAAGTTGGGTATAGTTTTCGACATATTTGAGGGTGCTCGTTATGAATATAGCACTTATTTTTAAATCCAAGACGGCGGACACGATTTATGAAAAAAACGCAATATGGGTATCCTTTCCGAGGTATTTGGGGTGCTCATTACGATTATAGCGCTTGTTTATAAATCCAAGATGGCGGACACGATTTTTCAAAAAAATGCAATATGGGTGTCCTTTTCGAGGTATTTGGGGATGCTCATTACGAATATGGCACTCATTTCTAAATCCAAGATGGCGGGCATGATTTTTCGAATAATGGCATGTTGGGTATCGTTTTCGAGATATTTGGGGATGCTCATTACGAATAATAGCACTTATTTCTAAATCCAAGATGGCGGACACGATATTTCAAAAAATGCAACATGGGTATCCTTTTCGAGGTATTTGGGGAAACTCATTACGAATATGACACTCATTTCTAGATCAAAGAAGGCGAGCACGATTTTTTGAATAATAGCAAGTTGGGTATCGTTTTCGAGGTATCTGGGGGCGCTCATTACGAATATAGCACTTATTTGTAAATCCAAGATGGCGGACACGATTTTTCAAAAAAATGCAATATGGTATCCTTTTCGAGGTATTTGGGGATGGTCAACAGGAATATGGCACACCTTTCTAAATCCAAGATGGCGGGCACGATTTTTCTAATAATGGCAAGTTGGGTATCGTTTTCGGGGTATTTGGGGGTGCTCATTACGAATATAGCACTTATTTGTAAATCTAAGATGGCGGACACGATTTAAAAAAATGCAATATGGGTATCCTTTGGATGCTCAATACGAATATATAACAATAATAATTACGCAAATTTAAGAAAGAATAGATCAAGAGTAGATCTGAAGTTGTTAACCGTAAAAGCTTAGTTAATATGAGATAATTACTATCGTGAAAAATTTTTCACTGATTCCCGAAAGATGCAACAATTAGATATATAACTGTAGATGTAGAGTATAGGTACAGAATGAAATGAATGAAATCGATACTTATTTCTGCATTTGGGTTAATTATTAACCAGTACTCAGGATGAATTGAAGTAATAGATGTTTTGTTTAGAATCCAGGTACAGAAGTTGGTGCTCGTGCCACATGAAACTACCACTGGGACATAAATGATCTTGGTGCTATTCCATGATAAAAATTAAGGTACATTAAAAAGTATAAATAAAAGTAAAGGTATTTTACTCACTCAAGTGGCGATTCCAATGAGGAATATCTGACTGAACACAAAAAAGAGTAGCTCGCACCATAGTTGCTTTCAAGATACGTAAATTTATCACTAAGTTTAGCCCCTTTTATATTCCACAGTAGTAACTGTGATCAATCGATACAGCTATGCTAGATAATTATAGTAGCGAAGCAAATAGTTTAAATTACAATGCATTAGGATTGTTAACTTAATTTTGTATTTACGCTAACTTTAGTCCGCGATAGTGTCTACTTAATATACACCCATGGACAATGAATTTGGATTGCTTACTAAATTAGAAATAATACCAGTAAATTTATTTAGTTTTGAAATAAGTATAGAAAATTATAAAATCAAACAAATCAACCTGTTAAGAACGAAATGAACCGCGTCTAAAGAATATAATTTTTAGACTCACCTCTGCACTACCATGTATAACCAGTAAATGGTGATGTCAGAAACAGTATTTTGAGACAAATCTGCAAAATGGGTAATTCTGTTTTCAGGTTAATAAAATAAAAAAAGGAAATATACTTCGATACTCTTACTAACCTTTATTTAGGGATTATTTTCACACGTGTTGTAAAGGAGAGAGGTTCTCTCTTCCGTAGGATGAGGTTACATAGCTGCAGTCAAGTGAAAACTCCAAGATTTATTTTCACCTTCTATGACGCCAATACAATTTCACCCTATCTGCGGAAGGTCCGGCAGTTGTTCCCAAGAAGGGACTCGACTCCTGGAAACCGTTCCGCGAGATGATGAATTTCACCCTATATGGGCGTACGCGATATCAGAAGGTCCTGGTAGCAGTTCTCTCAGCTCGGTATTCTCAGATTCCTCTCCACTTTAACAAAATTGTGTTGGAGTAGTCACCATTCGATGGAAAATCTTAACACCGCGATTCAGAAATAACGCCAAATGGGTCAGTGCTATCTAGCCGATTCTTAGGGAACTAAAAGTGAACAATATGATTTATGGCCATCTAATACATAAAGTAGGTTTGTTACAGTTTTTGTTTTGTATTTGAAATATCCATTCCTAGTTTGAAGCAAATCGCATCCCGCGTTTAAATATTTAGAGTTAAAATTATTTGAATTTACCACTGTTTGGCATCGTTGGCGTCTGTAACCATAACTCATGGTTCATTTGTCCTCTCTCTAAATGACATTGTTAACTTTTGTCCCATCATTGGTATATTGATTGCACGGAGCCTCGTATGTACACTAATGGGCATTGGAGGTACTCCTATTTTAATTTCAACTCGACTGATTTCATCGTTCATATACAATATTTAATTTTGTTGTAGCAGTAAAGCTTCTTGTGAAAGAGTTCGTCCAGGGACGTACAGCCACCTCACGTGTGTGACGAAATACTTCCATATATTTCTCAGAGATGGCACTACGCTTGAAAAGTCATTGAAAACCAAATACAAAGGTCCCACAACAAGCACATACAAAAAATTGTATGGCCCGCTGGTTTGTTCCGTGACTTAGGTACAGCCAGGTTGAAGGATTTTTTCCTAAGTATTCGATCTTTGTATTAATAATTATAACTAACAACAAACTAGTGGAGCAATTTCACAAAAAAATATTGAATAACACTATGGTTAAGCATTCTGACATTCAATAAAAATGTATATATACAATATTCTTCTTGTCGAGTCAATGACAAAAACCAATAAAAAAACCAGGGTATTTCTTCTTCTTCTTCTTTGTTGCCTTTAGCAGGTCTTCGCGAGTGCTGGTAAAACACAATGGACACGAGAGCAAGTAACACAAACTTTGCGTGGGGGATTCACAAGCACAATGGTTTTGTGTCGGGTTGATACGCCTTCATATCACCATATCTCACCGTTAATACAGTAGTGTAATAACTGAAAAAGTGTGTTTTCTCAGAACAATCGAAAAACGGATTACTCGCTTCCCTTGAAAGATCTGTGTAAATTTATGTAAAGGTTATTTCCTACTTGCCAAACATACATATTTAAAAATAAAAGAGAATAAATAATGCCATATTTTTGAATAACGACTATTTTGGCCAGAACAAGCTCACATAAAGCGTGGCTCATTTTGAGTTAAGTAGTTAAATAGATATCTTTTAGTTGTTTTTTTTTACAATATTCTAACGACAGTTTTATTGACGTGTAGAGAATAAAATTTTACGTTCAACAATGGTATAATCTTGAATTTCACATATTTTTAGTTATAACACTATTGTAATAGCAGTGCGATATTATCTCTACGTCGGCCAACGTGTGATCACGGGGCCTGTTCAGAACCTTACGATAACTCAATTGTCGACCAATTTCTTTTCATTTTTATTCGCAACACCCGAATCAAAATTCAAATGTCACATTCGAAACCGAACCGAAACTATGTCACACCTGTACGATTACATTACTCAGCTTCGCGACCGGCAAAGGCTACAAACGTTATCCAGAACCATCGAGTATATAACCAGAAATAGAGACGAAATAAGGGTCTTCCAACTATTGCAAGCATCTTGCAACGCACCAGGCAAATGGGCTTTATATCGCTTTTAAATATCAACTCTCATTTGCACTGAAATCACAAATTAGAAAGTGAAATAGTACAGCGCCAACAACTGACATATTGTGTGTACGTCTCGGTATATTCCAAAAATATTCTGTATTTATTGTAATAAAGATAATATCTATCTCTAACTATGGTGGCTGTTCCATTCCATTCCATTCCATTTTCTCTAACTATAGTGGTGTGGGAAAAACAGCAAAACATCTACTTACAAAAAAAAGGAAATAACATTTCATTTGTAATTAAATATTAAATATGTGCCTAATTTTTCAATTTCATCCATTATAGCAAAGCTTAAGTTAAACTGGTCGATTTGAAGTGAAACAATTGACGACACCCGTCAATTGTTTCGAATTCGGGCTGGCCAATCGGAGTGCAGTTGTCACCGTAATGATTTGGCAGAATAGTTGGTACTGCTAGAGTCACCGTAATGATTTGGCAGATGTTAGTACTGCTAGACTAGTTTACTTTAGTTACTTCCATAGTATAATGTTCTACGGGTTTCTCATGTGGTGTAAAGCGGCAGATATTCAAACCATATTTGTATTGCAAAAACGAGCGATTCGTTCTGTGTACCGTCTAGGCTCTCGGGTATCTCTCAGAGAAAAGTTTAAGGAGACTGGTATCATGACTGTGGCATCACAGTACATTTACTCAAATATTTTATATGCCCGTAAAAATATACATAATTTCAATAAGAAAGAAGATATCCATAATATTAACCTTAGAGCTAAGTCCAAACTCATGGTACCACGATTTATCTGCCTTATTATCTTTATCTGCTTTATTTAACTGCCTCCGTGGCCGAACGGTTACCATGCCGGACTGCCACGCAGAGGTCCCAGGTTCGATTCCCGGGCCGGGAGAAATGTTTGTATGGCTTACATTTATTTCTCTCGTGAGTTTGGGTGTAATTTGTGGTTGTCTATGTGTGTGTCCATGGCACCCGCGACACAGGGTTTCCCTAGTGCGGGGCTATGTTGAGTGTGTGCGTTATTATAAAAATTTCGTTTAACCAAGGTAAACAACTCTTTTATGGGGAACTGTATACGTTTTTACAATAAGATTCCAGAGCATATATTAAGTTTATCAATTCCTAAATTTAAAAACTACATTAAAAATATTTTGATCGAAAAATCATATTACAAAGTTGAAGACTATGTGTTAGATAAAGATGTATGGAAAGACGACATGGCTCCAGAATCCACACAAATTTGATTCAAAGTGTATTCCACAGCATTTAAGATTATTTGAAAATAGCAATCCCTAGAGTTTCTTGCTCGTTCTTCTCAGGGAGGTCAGCGTAGTAAACGAGCAGTAGCTTAAATGTGACGTTTTCAAGTGTAAATTTATTTTACCTATGGAATAAATAATCTTTGACTTTGACTTTGAGTTTACAAACAAACTAAATGACATTTCGTCTCTATTTCTGGTCATATACTCGATGTTTAGAACACAGTTCTCGAATGAAAGTTACTGAACGCCCTATTGTTTGTAAAGCAAGAATGTGATATGGAAATTTCTTGTTTTATTTACTTATATATTTTAATGCAAGAATGCTTTAGGCCTTTCAAGTCTTAAAAATGTATATAAAACGATTTTCATTTTTCTTATAATCTATTTCACCGACTAACTCCGTAAACGCTGTTGGATAATGATTTCGTATCCGAATGGGACGTTTTACCCGGAATGTTCTGAATAATTCGGAAAGCGCCCTTAGATTCTAGAACGATGTACATTCGAAAGATTCGGTTAAAATATCGAAGAGTTCTGAATCGGGGTCCTGATACGATTCAGGGATTTCCATGACCACTGCAACTCGTACCCGGGGGAAAATTTTCGGCTGAGGTAATAAAATTTGGCGTTTGGAGTTTGGCTTGCCAATGTTTGCGCCTCATGTCCGTTGTGTTACCTTCTATAACGGTGGTAGCTTGTGGTTGAATAACGAGTGGCGATTATCAGAAATGATCTACATCGAACATAATTATATTGAATTAATATGAGCTCTATGACACACAGAAAAGTAGTGACATTTTTGAATAAGGTAGTCTTTATGTACTGTCCGATAGGGTTAACATTGCTATATAGAAAAAGTATTTTGCAATGTAAATTCGTCTCACGTGATTATTTGGGTACAGTTTAAATAGTTGTGCATTTAAGGTTTAAAACGATCATACTGTACTTTTCAACATCCAGTGTTCGACGTCAGAAACAAAGAAAACGACTTGTTTTAAATTTTTATTTTGCTTTATTCCCTTATCCCGTTTACATGCCAAGTTTCATCTCCATTGCTGGTAATATATCACAATCTCACATAAGACACAAATAAATTGCTACTAGTTAACTGTCAAATTCTAAACGTCCATAGTCACTGACAAAATTATACAAATTGTGCTAAATAATAGTATAAATTTGTATAATTTTATCAGTGAAACAGTAAATATCGAATATAACTTGACTTAAATTGTGATGTCTGCGCTACTTAGTACAGAGATAACTAACTGAAACAACATTATGTTTACTTTACGTGCACATTGGATATGTCCGCTCACACGTCTGGTGTCGTAATAGCGGGAACGGCGGGCCGCAGTGGAACTTATATTATCTATTATCTATAATACATTATGGCCATACACTACATAAAATAATTTTTCGTCCCCACTTGGGTAAATTGATGATACTGTCTTATAGGTAATACATTATCGGCATTGGAGGTCCGCTTAATTTTATTGAACTTCACTGTCGTGATCATCAATGAATATAACACCAGTTTACGCTGACAACTTCTGTCACATTGAAAGACTGACACGACTTTCGAGTGTAACTGGTTTGCTGTTCCCTAAGCTCTCCTACGAGATGACGTACATTCAACGTTCTTTACGGTGAGCTTTTGTGTTAACGATTCGTTAACTAATGCGACACATTTGGCAGTATCTATGAAACCTTCAATTTGCTCTTTGCCTATAAACGTTAATTTGTAATTACGTCCTGCATCCACCTGCATTTCAGCTTTGGTTACCCGCGTAAGTATATATTCACTTCCTACTTGCTCGTCATAAACTTTGATAGCTTCTGTAGCAGCGCGAACGACATTTGGATCGTCAGTTTCTACACATTCGAATGGGCGAGGCGGCGGCGGTGGCGGCGGTGGTGGCGGCGGCGTTGACAATTCATCATTAGCCATCTGAAATACGATAAATTACTTAAAACGGTCTGTAGTGAAACTATGGCACTATTGCAATGGGATATAATATGTATTATAGTAGAACGCAATGAAAAATAATATCAAACTGAATTTTTAAAAATTCTTTAATTTATAGACAATCAAATTGAACAGATATTTACACCGACAACGAGCACTTCTACTCAATAGTAAGACAGATTCCTTTTAGGGGTGTGTAATAGAAGATACAACAACAAATAATCTATTTTCACTTGTTATAATAACATTCGATATAATTTCTAAAGATATAATCACTCACTGTATTTTATCAACAAAAAGTATAACAACAAAAGGCATAATTTCAATGTGTATAATGAACCTTCAGTATAATAAACATTAGATATAATGAGTATTACCAGTACAGTGTATTAAATAATATAACACAATATTTCGTTTTACGAATAGTTGAAGCACCCTACGTTATGTTGATAACAATGTTGTTTATTCCATTAAATGTACAATCGTAAAAAATAATTGGTTTTGTACAGCTGTTACTGTTTTTTGTGTTATAAAATATATTTATTAAAACTTTAAGAAGAATATTTCATTGCATATACTGACCTAACCTAAACCCACAGGTGGAGATCGAACCAACTAGCAAATGTAAACCAATTCGATTCTGGCAGCTTTGTCATACACTAACCTAACCTAAACCCACAGGAGGAGGTCGAACCAACTAGGAAATGCAAACAAATTCGGTTTATTCACCGTTGCATTTAGATGCACCACTGGAATTATATTAATGTGTTTTTTTTCACACATACACATTCAACATTATACTCAGTGAATGTTACATCTGAAGTGTTTATATAAAATGAACATTATGCCAACGGTATATTAGATTGAAAGTTGTTATATCAATCGTCTATTATACCCAGTGACCTTTATATTATGCAAGAATATGTCAAATGTCTGTATACCATAAATTAATTATATCTGTTGAGCATTATATCGACTAAAAATATGTCATTTGTTGTTATATATTACGAACCGCACCCTCCTTTTAGAAGTATTTTTAGAGGTTAGTATTCACAGTAAATTGATCATAAATTGATCAATTTACAATTTTTTTCTTAATATTTATTTCGGTTACCTATCGATAGTCCGAAATGACATTTCTCAGAAATAACGTTTGCTTGAATTTCCATAAGATGGAAAGTAATTTTGAGAGGAAAATGTTTTTTCTTTTAAACCTAACTTATCCTAATTTAACCGAACCTAATCGTGTCTTTGCGACAAACATCCAACATATCCTGAAAGAACTAGAGTTTCGTTTTAATTCGGTTTTCGGTGTTATGAAAATTCGAATAAACGTTATGTCGGAAAAAAATCTAGTTTGTGATAGGTCACCATTTTTTTCAAATATAATATAATAGATAGATATAATAGATGGAAATAACCTGAAATATCAAAAAAGATCAAGAGTAATGCTTTAAAGCTAAGTTAAGATGAGATTATTTATTATGATACAAACAGTATCATAATAAATTTATCACTGAGTCCTGATTGATGTAAAAAATAGATATATAAATTTAGGTGTAGTATATATGTAAAGCGATACTTATTTGTGCATTTAAGTTGATTTTTAACCAGTTCTCGGGGCGAAATGTAGTAAAAGATATTTCGTTTAGAATCCAGGTGTAACAGAGCTCGTGCTCGTGACACGTAAAACTACCTTTGACAAATAAATGGCCTTTTTCATGACAAAAAGTTTACATTACAAACGGTGTATAATAGTAAAGGTATTTTCCTTACACAAGTGGCGATTCCAACGAGGAATATCAACTGGACACAAAGAAGAGTAGCTCGCACCATGGTTGCTTGCTGGATACATACATTTATCACCAAGTTTAGCCCCTTTTATATTCCACAGCAGTAACTGTGATCAATCGATACAGATATGCTAGGTAATTAAGGTAGCGAAACAAATAGTATAAAATTACAAAAGCATTAGGACTGGTAACTTAATTTTGTATTTATACTAACTAGCTTTAGCCCGTGATTGTATCTACTTAATATGTACACAAGAACAAAGAATTTGTCGGTTGCTACTATAATAAATGTGGTGCCAGTAACCATCTACTTCGAGAATTACCTTAATAATAATAATGATGAGAATATAATTATCACGTTTGCATGTAATTAAAAACAGAATAGATAATAACATCAACATTTACTAACTTAATTTCGTATTTATACATATTTTTTATTATGTAATTTATTTTGTGTTGCTTCCAATTTTAGAAATAATGCCATTAACGGCGTATTAATTCTACACGAATTTCATCACGGCCATCCGGCGCGGCCGCCGCGCGCTCTTCGAGCGGAGTCCGCGCTGCCGCCGCACAGCGACCGCGTGCGTCTAACTGTTTGTCTTAAATGTTATAAGGAATAGTATAGACAGTTTGTACCTCGTGGAAATGATCCTTAAACTCAAAGTACCAAATGACTACTGTACCAGGCGGCGTGATGTGCCTTTGTTAGCAACTGTGCCGTCACGCACTGAGCACTACCGACACTCGCCCTTTTCCAGTGCGACTACACTCATCAACTTCGTACTCGCAGCGTCACTGCAGAGTGGTCTGTTTGTGACTGGGACAACGAGACCGGCGACTGAGTGGAAGAGAGTGCTAGAGAGAAAACAGGATAACGACATGTTTTGTTTTAAATTTTTATTTTTAATTCTGGTTGATCTTGTTTTTATTTTGTTGTTGTGTTTCTACATTGATGTAACGCAATGGTAAATACGGTTATGCTACACTTTTTTGTTATTGAATAAATAAATAAATAAACTGTCACGGCAAAATACGCTTGATTTATTTCACTTCTACGTTTTAACTTAAATGAGCGTACCAGGCGAGTATAGCTTGAATTTGGTGTACGCGGGGCGGTCGGCGACCGTGCGGTTGTATTGTTCGGAGGAATTTAAATATTGTTGCCTAGTAAATAGAATTCAGTTTGTCATTAATCTACACGAAAGGCTAACTGGGCGCTAATTGTATTACTGACAAGTGGAAAAAATATATATTGCAGAAAATTATAAAATGAAATAAATAATTATGTATATCTATTAAGGTCGTCTGTATAACTTGAATTGTGTGAAAGGTAACATGGATAAGTAAGGTATGGAAATGACGACTGATAGGGGTGAGAGGAAAAAAATACTTATTTTGCCAACCCCACCTACCGTGGATAAGGTCGGGAAGAAGAAGAAGAAGAAGGGCGTCTGATTTATAAACCGAGACACGCCACCAAAAACAGGGTATTTACAGATTCATCATTTTTACACTCACCTCTGTACTATCTTATCAAACCATCACTGTAATATCAGAAACGGTATTTTGAGAATAATCTTTAAGAAGGATAATTCAGTTTTGGTAATTATTCAGTTTAATAAAGATTTTATTCAATAACATAAAAAGATACGTGTAACTAACTTAATTTGTATAACAGATACTGATTATTTTATATACCCAACCATTATACCTGCCCTTGGAAAAACGAATACGTTTATTTTATATCACAGTGAGTAAAATTTTATAATTGAGTATTTTTCCCATAAATTATACATAATCTTTTCCTCAATTATCTCAGGTCACACGTTGAAATTTAAAATTTGTGCTGCATTAGACCTATTAGTACTTTTTATGCTAGTTTTAAATTTCATGCATTTTGGTTGACGAACGTTCGCGCAATAATTTTCGGTTTAATAATCTGTAAAGATCTAAACCTAATAAACTTTTGCTGTAACTAGTATAAAAATACTAAATTAACGTTCTACGCTACTTTTGTGCATCCTAGACGGATTGCTTACATTTTGAAGCACTTAAGCTAGATTTGAAAATAAAAAGGATTTCTAAAGCCTAAGCAAGAAAAACCTACGTGATAATAATAATAATAATAACGCACACACTCAAAATAGTGTACACTAGGGAAACCCTGTGGCGCGGGTGCCATGGACACACACATAGACAACCACAAATTACACCCAAACTCACGAGAGAAATAAATGTAAGCCATACAAACATTTCTCCCGGCCCGGGAATCGAACCTGGGACCTCTGCGCGGCAGTCCGGCATGGTAACCGTTCGGCCACGGAGGCAGTTAGTTGATAATAGCGTTACAGTCAGGGGGAAAGCTCCGAACATCACTTTAACTACTAAAAGTTCTAAAATACAAGACAATGTAAAATCAATGAGTATAGCCTTCTACGCGACTATGATTTTAAGATATCTCAGTCTAGAAGATATCCACCGCTAAGCATTTTAGGTAAATCCATCAAAAACATGGCCAATAATAGCAAAATAGGTGAATATGTATACGAAGCAGCTTTAGAGCTCCTTATGAAAAAGCTCGTTCAGTGAAGTACTGCCACCTCACCTATTTCCGCCCGAACAAGTCGTGCGGCTGATTGTAAGCGACACATCTGTCCATAACATTTGCAGTAGTTTTAAATCACTGCGCTGGACGCCCTGAGATATAAATTGACAAGTCCCATGTAATCGTGCCTCTAATTTCACCACCAACCAGTACCTTATCACATTTACCATATCACAATTATTACATGAAGACTCTAGAATTAAACAATACGTTTTTTGTTTTCTATCCATATTGACGACCATAAAAAAATCGCGTTTAGTGGCATTCCAATTTTTTTTATTTATTCGGCTTTTGGTTTTTGCAACGTACCATGTGTACCGTATGTCCGTTATCTATCTTAACGATTTCCTATATATAGGTTCTACATATGAACAGTGTATAACTAATAACGCAGCCAAAAAAAATGCATTACAATCCTAAGGGTTTCAAATTTTGGATATGGGCGGTCGCTTGCAAAGCTCGAACCAAAGATATTCTTGGTCCTGATGGAATCCCAGCTTACATATTTAAAGACTGTCTCACTGAGCCATTGCTATATATTTAGAATTAGAGGTTTTTCCATATATAAAAATTACGCGAGTGATTCCAATCCCTAAAAGTAGTCCAGGATTCTCTACTGACGAGTATAGACTGGTGGCGGTGTTAACAACGCCAGCTTAAGTATTTGAAGCAGCTATACAAAAAAGTATATTTGATCAAGTGAATGCGCAACTCTCAGATGCACAGCATGGTTTCCGCCAGGTCGAAGCACTGTAGTACTTCGACCTAACGGAAACCTGCTTGTAAGCAACCTTTTAAATTACGTAACGGAAATTATGCCAGTGAAAGATGTTAGTAGAGGGCAGGTAGTCGCCGCATATTTTAATTTTCGTACGGCTTTTGATGTGGTAGATAATGATGTCCTACTAAGGAAGCTGACTGGTGTTGGTTGCACTTCCCGCTTACTAAAATTTTTGGCGAGTTATATCGAGAACCGGCGACAACACGTTGAGTATGCAAGTTACCAATCACAGACGTATTTTGTCAGATCAGGAGTGAGTCAAGGGAGCAATCTCGGGCCTCTATAATTTATTAATATGTTTAATGATTTACTGAATGTTATTAATCATTCAAGCTGCTTATTTTTTGCGGATGATCTTAAACTGTTTAGTTCAGTTAATGGAGATGGTGACTGTGCGCAGCTTTAAAGTGATATAGACTAAGTGGTGGCATGGGGTAAAGACATGGGGTAAGCTTCAGTTTAATACCTCTAATGATTTCATTTACTAGAGCTCATAACCCTATTCATTATGAATGTAAAGTTGATACGGTGCCTATGAGAAGAAAGAGTGACAGAGGTAAAGGATCTAGGAGTATTATTTACTGCAGAATTAACGTTTCGCGAGCATATTGGAACTATATTTAAAAAGCTTACAGATATTTGGGGTTGATCCTTCAAAGAGTTCACGAGTTTACGAGTATTAGTGCCATTATTGCCCTTGTAAGAAACCTCCTCGAGTGCAATGCGGTAGTCTGGACTCCACATCAAACGCATTATAGTTTTCTGCTGGAGCGCATTCAAAACGAATTCCTGAGATATCTCTACTTGAGGCAGTACGAGGTTTACCCCATCTACCCCTTAATGTATCCTAATCTGTTCATTTTGGGTATAATGGGATACAACGAGCTACACGATCCTTTTGGTCCCTGGCCAAAGTGTTCCAATCTAACTTTTGACGCCCATCTTTGCCACCTCTGCTGAGGCCAGATGGCTCGCTGGCTCATACTGTGGAAGAGAAGGCGAATCTTTTTGTCTCACTCTTTGCAGATAATTCGCGTCTGGATGCCGCAGGGAACCTACCACCTACTTTAGCTTGGGCTGGCTGCACTATGGCAATTCGCATACGCCAAAAAGAGGTACTTAGAACTTTTCGAAATCTAGACGAGAATAAAGCTAGCGGGCCAGACGGAATTCCAGCAATCGTCCTGCGTAACTGTGCGCCTGAGTTGTCTCCTGTTCACACACGCCTGTACCGCCTCTCACTTGAGACTGATGTAGTTCTCAAGTCATGGAAGCTTGCAAACGTGCAACCTGTGCCGAAAAAAGGAAGCAGAGCAAACCCTGTCAACTATAGACCTATCTCAGTCACTTCTATACTCTGCAAGACTATGGAACGTGTACTCAACAATTGTCTCCTATCGTACCTTGAAGACAACGGCCTCAGTGATCGCCAGTACGGATTCTGACGAGGGCGATCTACTGAGGATCTTTATGCGTTTACCTGTCACATATGGAGCGAGGCTATAGAAAAGCAAGGCGAAGCACTTGCATTGTCTTTAGACAATTCTTAAGCCTTTCGTATCAGACCCTGGTCTGTCACGCAAGCCTTTTAAGTAAGCTTCCATGTTATGGGCTTCCCACTGACCTTTGCGATTGGATCTCGGATTTTTTGAGTGAACGTTACATTTGAG